TTGTGGCAGGTGCGACCTACAAGTCAAGTAGAAATCCATGAGCCTTCAAAGCTGCCACGACACCCGAAGGGTACATACAGGTGGGGTGTCGCGACGCCGGTGGGCACACGAGCACGGTGCTGTTGCGGGACCAGGACGCATCCGAGCTCGACGGCGTCTGGATATCGTAGCACATAAAGTCTACGGTTCGCGATGAGCTCCATGCTCCGGTTCGTTTGGTACCGTACTCGTCATGCAGCCAACTAAGAACTGGGTCCAAATGATCGTATCTCGGCCGCTTCTGCTCGAGGCTGGAAATTCGAAACTGATTGTGTTTGAGGTGGGACGCAAAATATAATGTCACCATCTCGTTTATACTTGGCATGAGTATAGATAAGGTGTGCGCGTATTTTATTGCAGACGGCGCATACAAGCCGTTGAGCATCCAAACGCGCTTTTTATTATTCGGCTCTAGGATCGCGTTTTAATACCATTCTTTTAATACCATTCATGTATTATTATGCAGCATGGATTCTTTGATGCTGAAACGGTATGCCACAGGATAAAATACATCCTAAATTAAATTCATGTAACGTATATTTTTATCAAACTTGTGGTCTCACGGCACTATTTTTATGATGATTTTAGCCTTTGATATTGCACTTTGGGTTTGAAAACGCACCCAAAAATCAGCGGGGCCGTTTCACGAATCTTTCCTCGCCGCGTATTGCGCCACGTATGTGCACGCAAGCGAGTGGCCATGCGAGAGAGGACTAGAACAAAGGCTCGCGATACAGCGGTCATGGCGCACCTCGACGTCGGACCGTCGGTCTCGCGCAGTCACGCAGTCGCCATTGGTATGTGGGTGGCACACACTGTCGGGAGGGATGGGTTCAAGTATTGGGACGAAATGTACGGTGTAAATCCTCTTCAAGCAATGCAACTCGTCTGGTTCACTGACGCGTGTGGCATGTCCCATCGGGTGCAATTGCCGCCGCGATAACCGGCGTGTACTATGGTTCAACGCGCCAAGATACTCGTCGTCTCGGCATGCCACGTCGTGTCCATGCCACCACCAACTGTGTGAGGGTCCTCGCGACTCCCCACCGCGTCCTCCTCGGTATACTACAGTTGCCTCCCGCAGCTAATCAGGCCAAAGAGAAAAAGTAGCTGCCGACCATGCTTCGAGTAGCGTCGCCCACGTCCCTGAATGGTTTTTATGTGCTCAACAGTGCCGTTGGCTTCCCATCGCACATGCAAATCCCTTCGAAAGGTGAGAGGACAACGGTTCAGCCACTCGCTTGGTACATGTACCTCTACCGCGACTGCCGACCCTCCTCCCTACCCATGACGTCGCTTCCATGTTCTGCTACTCGTTCGATGCTTTGAGAAACATCGCAGCCCAGGTCGCTCATAGACGCACGCACCCAGCTGCCGCTTCGTTGGCGTCGCCTTCTCCTCATGACGAGATTTGCTCCGACCTTTTGAATCGACGCCAGGATGGGTCGTGGCCGCTTGTACGCGATGTTGCATCGTCGCCAAACAACCTTAGTCGTCCATGTGGTTTGAACCTGGAACGTTAGCCGTAGCAAACGCACTGCACACGCTGCCACCACCAGCGTGTTGTTGGCGGCTTGTGGTCAGTGAAGTCGGTGATTGCTAGTTCAATGACGCCAGGGATGCGATGCATCAACTCGAGTAGTCGATCGCTCAAGCGTCTCATGCTCCATGCGAGAATTGGAACAGACTCGACACGAACACTACACCCAAATCTCAATATGTCCACCTGCCACAACTACAGTTTGCATCTTGTCTTGTCGAGCTAGGCTCGCCCCACGATTGTCCTCCACCGATTGCACTCGTGGCGCCGGAAAATTTGAAATCAATTTGATCCGCTCAAGGAATTCGAACGCCGCTGCCAGAATGGTGTTCCTTCGTCTCGTCTCGTCGACCATTGAAACGCGGCGGCACGCCAGTGCTCGGCTGCGCGCTTACGAAGCGCCTTTGACTGAAGTTGAACCATGTCCACGCCAACTTTTCGCGCCGAAAAATTCGGCGAGACCTCTGGGAATGCATCTATATCAATTCTCCCGTAAAATAGCATGCTACGGGTTTTACCGGAACACAGTCTGCTATCCGGTTGCCACGTCATACGATGGGCCAAATATAGCGCGGCTATCGCTTCTCTCCGTGATGCTCCTATACAGAGGTCGAGAGTGGTCTTTATATACTCACAAAACAGAATAAAGTCACTAAAGCGGGGTAATTCTATTATAAGCCTTTTGTATTGGCTCGTTTCAGGTGAATTCAGATATTTCGGCTCAGGTCGGCAACATGAGCAGCGACGAAGACATGATGGTCAAGATCGCGGTCAAGAACGTCTACGAGCGCAACCTGACGGTGGCCCTCGAGATGGAGTGCTCGAGCTCGATCCTGGCGCTCAAGGAAGCGCTCCAGGAGCGCATGGACGCAGAGCCCAAGCACCAGCGGCTCATCTTTGGCGGCAAGATTTGCGAAAACGTGCAGACGCTCGCGCAAGTGCTCAAGCGTGTACATCGTCGCCGCCTCCCGACCACCTTGGATCTCACGCACGCATGGATGTAGATGGAGCCGAATGAAGTGTACACGTTCCACTTGCTCGTGAGCAACCCCGACAAGCCGGCGCCGATGCGAAGCCCGCCGACGTCGGCAGCAGCACCCGTCGCGTCGAGCCCCGCTGCCGTACCAGCAGCCCCGATGCCCGTTGCGCCGCCCACGATGGTCGCGCCCACTGCGTCGACGGCGACGTCGCCATTCACATTTCCGTTGCCACATATGCCTCCCGGTGCCGTGCCCCACGTCGGCGCCGCGCCGTCCATGCCGCTGCCTTCCATGTTTCCGTTCCCTCAAGCGTCGACCGAGACACCGTCGCCATCGCCGTGCTTTCCAGCGATGCCAGGGCTTCAGACCCTCCAGCTCCAGCATTATCTCGCGCAGCAGGAGACGCTGCTTTTGATGCAAATCCAGTTTCTCCGACACCTGCAAGAGTGCCAGCAGATCTACGGTGCGCACCAGCCATCGACGTCGACGTCACCGCTCACAAACATCTCGTCATTCACGACGCGGACGTTCACCGTGTACCGGGACGACGTTCCGGCCGCCGAAGCGCCGATGCCCCGCCGTCGGTTCGCTGCCATCCGCGCCGTTCTCGTGCTGCTCGACTTGAAGCTCGCTGTCAAAATGGCCGTCATGATGTACATCATCGGGCAGGACCTCCCGCTGCCCCGGCTGTACTTGCTCATTGGCATCTCCAGCGTGATCTACCTCTACCTCACGGGCATCCTCAACAAGATCTACGACATGATCCAAGGTAACCACCCGGAAGCGCCAACGCCGATCCCGAATGCGGCCAACGACAACAACGATTTTGAGGTTCCACCGATGGAAAATCTGGCGCCAACAACCCCGTTTTTGACGATCCCAGCCGAAGGCGGCTGGTGGAAAGACCTTCAGATCTTTCTCATGGGCCTCCTCGTGTCGCTCTTGCCGTCGTGGCGCCCGCTCGCGACGCCGACGCCCAACGATCCGCCTGTCCCCGTCGTCGAGCCCGTCGGTCAAGAGTAAACAAAAAGAAGAAAAATGCATGTTCATAAAGATGAAGCACTCGAAACGAGAAGGAAAACCCGTTGGCAGTAGTAGGCCAAGTCTGCTGGTGCTGCATAATGCCGCGAGCTTAGAGGCTGAGTCAGCCTCTAAGCTCGCGGCATTATGTCAGTGACCATTTAGCCATTTGCAATGGGAACTACTTATTGCATCGCGATTAGTAGACCGTACAACATGGAAGCGTTGCGTGTGTGGAATGTTCAATGGTGATAAAAGACTCCAAGTATAATTTTTTGATTGGCTTCGCACGGAATTACATTTGTGACGTCAGTCACCTGAATGAGAGGAGTATTTGGGTACCGCTCGTATGCAGGTGACAATGGTCGACTTGGTTCGAGTTCGTGATCAAGCCACGCGAGTCGGAGCCTTCTATCAATGACGTCAGTCATTCAGGCCCTTGAGGGCGCGTATGGTGCAGATGTCGACCAAAAGCGGGATTGCGTCGAGCGATGGCAGGCCCACGCATCCCTAGCAGGAGTGTCATTCATGTGCGATGATGCCATGGCTAGTTACGTCTGGCGCAGCCTCGGACATTCGCGAAGCCAGACTGCCTCGTGGACACCGCCGGCAACCGCTAGTCAAGACGCCCAGTACAGTGTCGGCGTCGCACGTTTTTACGCTGGCCATCAACGCGAAGGCAGACATTGTGCCGGACGAGCTCAATCAGTATTGTTTCGAGCATGCCATCGATCACGCGATGAAGGCGTCAAGTCGCGTCGCGCATCTTCACGAAAGACGGGAAGCGGCTCTACATCGCCGCAAAGTGCTCAACGTCGCCATCAACAAGTCAACTGAAGGCTACAAGAAACGTGACTTGTTCTACGAGCGCGACGTACTCGGCGCCAGCATCAAGGAGCTCGCCGAGAAGATCGAAGGCATCCGTGTGGAGAAGATGGAAAGCTCGTCGTCAAGCGACGCCACGTTCAT